GTGATGTCTGATGCAGGTCCTTACTGAGATTAAGTAGTAAATTTGGTTAAAACAAACCCAAGCTGCCAAATCTAAAACACAATTTTGTAACCACATCTCTGTTTTGCATCACTAATACTTCTGTATTATTTTGCCAAGTTTTCTCCTGATTTTAGAAGGCGACAGCTTGTACCTCCCAGCAGCAGCTTCTGGAGGGTTATCCTCAGGTATAAGTGACCAACAGAAGCAGCTGTACTCAGCTTATGAGATTTCCACAGTGTCCACATGCTGTTCTCAGCAGAAGGCCAACACCTGGAATGTTTTCAGTGCTTCTCAGCACTTCCTTACCCTTCCTACCAACACAATGCACACCAGCTGGGGAGGTCTTCTCCCTGAGCCTGCGTAGCAGCTTGGTTCACTTGGTATCTGCTTCTTTCCTATGCACAGCAATACAAATAGGAATCGGGCAATCTGGATTCAATTGCTTATCATACAAATTTGCAATTACTCAATAACCATCAACCCTTCTTGGACAGTCTGTGGTACCAAGTTTAACAATGGAAACCACAATCCATTTTGCAGGAGCTTTCTTGCTGGTGGCAGTACACGAGAAGTAAAGTCAATCAAGCTGTAGCACATGTATAGTGCAGACAGAGCTGGAGGCCAGAGAGCCGTGTCTGTCCACCATTTCACCAAATCCATATTTCCTATAAAACCAGAGGATTGAGAAGCCAGCTGCTGCTAATTCTGCAACAGAGCCACATAGTCCCACTTCCTTCCTGAAAAATAATCACTTTTTCCTTGAGTACTGACCCCCTTCACTTTGCGTTTGCAGCCCACCTTGGGAAGACATGTGGATGAAGTGGTGAGGAAAGGCACCACTGTACTTCCAACTGGCAGCTCTGCATCACATCGCTTTGGGGCAGCACTTACAATGCCTTAAGCTGAAGTTATCGACCTCAGGTACCTTCCCTTCCTGAAAATACCCACATGTGCATGTGGGCAGTTTGTCATGTAATCTAACTTTCAAGAAGATCCCTAATTAAACCAGCGGACCGAAGTCTCCATGGAGAGGCTGTTATGTAAGGGACTTGTCATTACCTTTCACAAATGAAGGAAACCCAAAACTCCACGGAGGTGAAGAAAAATACATGGTGCTTCTAATTTGTATCCGGCAGCTGAGAGAAGTGTTACAGGAAAAGTCTTCAGCAATTTTCTCCACTGTCATTCATTGCTGAGATTGCTCTAACAGAGGAAAACTCGCCACGTTGCAGTTTGTGCATGGAATGGGCCATCCTTTGATCTCTTCCCAAGGAGCTCTGTGCTAAGTGTGCCTATGAGCAATGGCAATGGCCCCACTGCTCCTGCAGAGCCGGGCTCCACGTGCCAGCCGGCAGCACCCAGGTGAAGTGCACCCATCCTGCCTGGGCTGCTCCATTCTGCAGCACTGATGTGAGCTCTCTTGAGGCGGATGCTGAGGGTTATATAAATTTATAAAAGACTCTACGTAATTTTCAGTTCAGTGAACAGAAGCATTTGTCAAGTTAACCTGCTGCTTGGCTTTGACCCTGCAGTTCCATCTCCGCTTCTGCCTCCTTACAAATGAGGGCAGGCGTCCATTGAAGGGGGAGCAGCCATCCTGCTTGCCTGAGCTGCTGCCCCCCATGAGTGCTTCTGTTACCGAAGCACTCACAGGGTTTCTAACTTGCACCAAAAGCTAGAAACAACAACAAACTTCTAAAAGTTTCCATCCAGAGAGCTTTAAGTGAGCAAAGGCTTCTCTGTCTTTCTCCCTGAACAGTGAATTTATCACTACCACGTTCAGCCCTTATAAAAAAAAAATGCAGAGCAGTTTGGTATAATGTGTGTGCTGTCCTCTTGGCCTCTAACCTAAGATAAACCAGGAATTACTTTTCTCATCCTGCTTCTCCTCCATATTAATTTTCTTAACAATACAATAAAAATCACTCCTGCCAATTATAATAAGGAACATTTCTAATTTGCTTTTCTGCTAGAGTTGCCAACCACCTACTTTGCCTAGCCTTAATATTGGCCCTGTGTGCACTTAATGAAACAGCAACACCTATTCCAGTTATCCCTTTCCAGCATCACCGGGATCTGTTCTCCCACTAAAGCTCATGGGAGTTACCTGGGAACTCCCATTATTAACCACATTACAGTCGTCATGTGCAGTTCCTGTGTGTCAGTGCAGACTTTTGCTTAACTTCAGGCTGAACTCATTTCCCGTGTGAAAACCTGGAGTTAGGAAAATGCCGTGCAGAGGCAACACATTTCTGGCTTTGCTGTCAAAGCCTTTTTACGTAACCCATCCCGATCCCACTGCTTTCCTATTCTCAAAGGACTGTAGGTATAAGCAGTTTAAGTTTAGTGAAAATTACTCAAATGCAGCACAGAATGAACCTATTCAGAATCCTACAAATGAAAAGCTGCTAACAAAAAAAAAAAAGTGAAATGACGACAAACTGTGTTGGAACAAAAGCCAACGTGAGTCGACTTGGCCAGGTTGACTGTCACAATGACAAACGTATCTGATGAAACTGAACAATTATTAGTCCGATGACTGCAGATGACTCTGCCACTGACACATACTGGAAACTGCCACAGAATTTTAGAAAATCCTCACTGCAGGTTGCAGAGGTTGTGCAGCCCTATCTTATATGCAAAACGTACAGCACGAACATCTATGGGAGAACGACTGGGGCAAAGCATCACAGAGTACTGGGTTAATTTTTATAAACACATCTAGTCTCATAAGCACGTCTAGTTTCCATAAGCCAACAAAAATTTTGCAGCCTGTTCTGTAAGAAAATAAAGTCTTACCAGATAGGAGAGCACCACACTGCCATACTGTTATTAAATCTGTACTGTAGTGAAAGACTGCTTCATAAGATATGCTAGATGTGAAGCTGTGCAGGCTAGGAACTACCCTATGCAGCTCTTCTGCAAAGGCAGTACTCCCCACCAGCTAGGTGAGCAGCTATGCTGTCTTACTAACCTGAAGAGAGAAAAGCTTGTTTATACGACTTTGCCATGTCAAGATGCCAGTTTAACTTGGACATCATTCAGCAATTACACCAGAACTGAAATGGTGATTTTACTGAGAGCAAGCCTCCACGTTTGCTTTGATTCACTGGTGTTGAGCCAGTTGCTCTCCCAGAAATTAAGCTTTGTGGTTGGCATTTGCCTACATTAAAGTTTTATTTACTTGGCTTTCATGACTCAACTACTACTGAATGATGAGAGAGCTGAGGAAGTGCCATTCTTGACTAAAGTTTTGGAAGTTTCCATGGGCCTGATGGTGCTGGAGACCATGTAAGCAAAGCAAGGCCCCAGGGAACTCACTAGTTATCAGCAGGTTAATCTAGGCAGAGATAAGTCAGGGAACACCTCTGAGCACTGATAAGCCTTTTTTGCCTTTTGCTATTAGGTCACTGCATTGTTATAGCATAGAATATCTACACTGGGACCACTTCATAGAATGTTTTCAATAAAAACTCATCTGTACTTTGCATGCAAGAGTAAGAGCTACTGGGTGTGTCCAAGACCTCACAGTCTGCAGCACCGGCTGCTGGCATCGCCAAGTGATCTGGTTCCTAAAACATTCTGTTCTGCAAAGCAGCAGATCTGTAACCCCCAGCTCCTCACTGTTCCATCAGGGCACACACACACACAGACAAAGCAACTCCTGGCTGTTTTGGACAATTTTCTAAAGGTAAAGACAGCCACAGAGCACTTATTCCCAAAGGGAAAGGATGGAAAATAGTTATTCTGGTTCAGCGGAAGTAACTTCTCTAAAGGCAACAGCACAGCAGAAATTGGCAGGACTGTAACGCACGGACGTGATCTGCTGTAACCACCGTATGCCAACAGCTTGCTCCTAACCACAGTTATTTCACAGCCTCCCAACCTGCAGTTATAGACAGCAAATGCAAACTGAAAAAATAAAATTGCTTTTTGGTGAAAGAGGTGTCTTTGGAGATGGATGGAAGATTTCCCTGTTTGTTTTGACCCGATGAGCTAAGGAAGCTGCTTCCAACAGAGACACATGCACAGCAGGAAGTGGCTCTGCTCACTCCATTAGCTCTGGATTCCAGGACAAGCAAAGGCTCTCTCCTTCTCAGGCTGGTGTAGAATTTGTTTTTCCTTCCAGCATGACAGTGTGAGGTTACCTAAGGCTACCTGTGAGCAAGCGAGATGAAAGCTCAGCTTCCTTCAGATCTGAGGAGAGCAGGAAATTTCAAGGAATGATTCTCTCCAAAGAACGTTAATTCCGTCATTGTATTTTAAGATGCTATAGGATTTTAAATGCTCTGTTCCCACTTTATCTTTTGCAAAAAAGCTTCAATTGAGAGCACACATACAGGGAAAAAAGAGAGCTTCACTCTGATTGATTACAGAGTGAAGAGATGAAGGAACCCTAAAAGGTTCCCTCTTCTCTTAGCAGAGGTTTGTGTGAAAACAAGGTGGTACTGTAGATCTGCTGCCAGTTTTAATCATAATCATTTATTACAACTTCCCAGAATTCAGCCTCACATTACACTTAACCAAGTCTCACCACCTCCTGCTACCCAGAGGACAGTACAGCTGCACATCTCCAGTCAGGAGACCTTTTCTATGGGACAGGATCTGCTTTTGCTGGCAGGCTGGTTTCCCAACAATCAGCAACTCAGTTCAGCTCACTCCACAGCTGCACAAGCCATACAAAAAGGGGACAAACAGAGCTAACAAAACCAGTAATGTCCATTTTGGCTACAGCCCACAGTTACATTAGATTAAGCACAACATGGAGCGCTGCCTTCAATCTGTTCAAACGTTTATTCCAACAGCTGCCATGGAGGGTCCAGCAAAAATAACGTCACCGTTGCAGGGGCACTTAACTGCTGCAATGATACCAGAGAAAGGCTGTGGATTCTGGGTACTGTGGTTTTCAGGACAGAAAAACAAATAAAGGACCGTAGAGGTGGTGATGCTATACGGGGAACTGCGGGGTCACGTATATAAGCTTTGTGCAGAGGTAGCATCGCAGCCAGTGAGGTTTATCCAAGGCGCGATTATTGCCAGTTGATTCTATGATTCCATAAGGTTTTCTTAGTTCTATTCTGAAAATGCTATCTGGGTATTCTTTTATCTTTAAGTACTTAAACAATTGTTCCTCAGCAGCACAAATGGCATCAAATTATAAGCTTAAATCTGTATGTATATCAAATGCCTGGATCTATCTTCTCTCTGAAAGGAACAACCTGTAAAATCGACCTTTCTAAACAAATCACTGATTGTTGCCTTCAGAGATGTGAAACAAGTGGCAGCAGGGCAAGGAAAGGGGAAATCAGTCAAGAACAGCTCTACGTAAGGACCACTGTCCGCATCTGGAACAAACTGTCTGCAGTAAGAAGCCAGAGTAAGATACTACATATGATCTTCGTAGGCATATCTTGCCAAAGTAACATTTTCTTTCTGTTTGGAAGAATATAGTATTTCCCAAATGCAATGAGCCAGTTGCTGGATATTCACTAGAATCCATAGCAAATGCAGTTCTCATGTAGGGACAACAAATGCTGATTTAAAACACAGCAGTGAAGCACAGCACAATTACAGGAGAACAGTGGTAGTTTGGAATTTACCATACAGTGTTATCTTAAGTTCTGATCTGAAATTTAGGACCTATAGTTGTAAGAGTCCCAAAGCATCTTGCAGTTGCTTAAATATATAATAATATAAAAGTAGTCACATTAACGTACACTACAAAGCTGTTTTGTTATACATTCACTCCTCCATATTGCCCTGGGAAATACCTCAATTACCCAGTGCCCATGCAAACATTTAATAAGTTTACTTTTGCATGGCAGGCACTGGTATTTCCCTTAATTACAGGTCAAAGATCATTTAGTCATTTCCCCTTCCACTGCCTAAACCTCCTCAGGTTTCCTGGATCTCAAAAACATCTCCCTTCCCAACATGTTTTAGTTAGAAGCTTAATATTTTCCATTTTCCTACCTGTATTGTAGTGTTGCCTCCTTCCAGAAGGGCAATGGCGAGTAGGATGCTCTCATGGAAGACTCTGTCGCTGGTGGCATTCATGATGAGGTCTATGACCAGGTTGGATGCACCTTCTTTATCCAGATGACACTGAACGTCTGCTAAACTCATCTCACCTCGGCTCATTGAACTCGATCCAGAGCTTCCTCCTATAAAGGTGATGATGACAGCCTAAGATTCAAATCCTGCCACCCTCAAGTGATGGCACCTCTCTCTTAAATGGTGAACTATCCCAAGTTGCACCCATTTTTTAACAGTGATGAACTCAACATCCAGCATTTCTGCAAGGAAGGGTTTTGTTTTTTTTTTTTTCTTTAACTAAGAGCACAGATACAACACATTGTATGATGGGCACTTAACACTGCTGTAATACGTGCGAAGCAGGTGAATGCTGTCCCTGAGAACAGCCTGGGCTGGTGAAGAGAAACAGTTACTGCCACAGCTACCTTTCTTGGCAGCAGAAGTGGAAAGAGGGCTGGTATATTAAAAGCTGAAAGTAAAAGAGAATCAAGGGATACAAGAAGAAGAAGGTTCTGCAGCACCAGCGAGGTGACAGAGAGAAGGCAAGACAAATTCTAGCAGATGGCAATGCCAGTATCATGCTGTACAATTATGGAAGCATATAACTTCATGGATAAACAGGCCAAACAAGACAAGCACACAGGAGCTGGTGGAAGAGACAGGGAGATTGAGAACTGAAGCAAAATGATCTAGAAAACAAAGGAGTATGACAGCAGGCAGTGCTGTGCAAGAGCAAATGTTATTACATCTCAATTTCAAAAACTGGAGGGCCAGTTTTTATCCACTTGTTTGTTTCTGATGGCTTGCAACAGGGATGCCCACAGTCCAGAGTGGCAAAACCCGAGTGGGGTTTTTTAAAAACATGTACAACTGGCTTTTTTTTAGCAACGGTTTCAAATTAAATAAACTGCATTCTGCAGTTGACTTCAAACCTGATCTTTGCTCATCCTGTCCCACAGCTCCGTAATACAGCAAAACGTTTTTGTCTCAGATAGAGTTAATCTGATGTCCCTACGAGCATGTTTCCCAAATAGCATTTCAAGTATTACATTGGTCACATTTCCCACGTGCATTCATTTCAAACAAAACCAAAAAAATCCACGTCAGCCCAAAAAACTCTCAGGAAATCATAAAGAAAAACAAACAAAAACTGCCTGCTTAATTTTGAAGTAATTACTCACAGGCAGTGAGGGAAAAAAAAAAAAAAAGAGATACTACTTTTCTCATCTGCACAAGGAAAAAATCAGTTGTGATGAGAGACAGGAGAGCTCCGCTCTGCCCAAGTTCACAAAGCTGGGAAAAGCACAGAAGTACAAGCTCTCCTCCACCTGTGAGCAATTTGTTGGGATTTTCATTTATTTATTTTTGTGAATTTTGTAGAAACAGAACAGTAGAGGAAAAGTCTGAAGGAAAAGCCTGTAAGGCACCACTGGGTGATGGAGACAGACAGACATCCCACAGCCCAGCTTTTGTCTCCCCCCAGCCCACCCTCTGACCCCACAACAGCCCACCTGCTGCCCCCCAGCCCACCTCCTGCCCCGGCCTTGCCGGCGCTGCCAGCAGACAGGGGCCCGTTGCCGAAGCTGGTGAGGCTCTCCCTCCGTCCCGCAGGCCTGACGTTGCCATAGTAACGGTTGACCAAAACTTGCCGGAGCGCCTCGCCCTTGATTCAGAGAGGACAAGGAGAGCATGACTTGAGGTTAAGGAACAAGTGAATGAGCAACAGTCATAGCAAGAGCACAGCTGCTGCCACTGGTCTGTGTGCAGCAGCGGAGGGGGGATGGAGATCCCAGAGATTTGGAGGAATTCACCCAACACCTCCCGGCGGTCCGGGGCCGCCTGGGACACCGCGTTTGTCTCAACCGTGGGTTCCTAGCACTGCAAACGGCTGCAGCCCAGGTTTCATCCTAAAGCTTTCTGGTCAGATTTTATTCTCTAAGAGACTTTTTTCATTCTTTTTTTTTTCTTTTTTTTTAATTAAGAATTATCGTCTCAGGTTTAAACATCAATAAGCGGAACGTTGACAGCGCCAGCGTAAAACAAAGAGGACTAGAAAAAGTAACATCAGAAGTGGCTCTGCGACCCCACATCCCCAGCACCGTCCCCTCCTGCGGTTCTGGCGTTGGTCGCTGCAGGACTGCCAGCCCCACTGCAGGCACAGCCCTGCGGCTCCCACCGCACACAGCAGCCAGCAGCCGAGCACATGAGCGCGGCACCGCGGGGCGCCGGTCCTCGGGTGACCCTGACATCCCAGGGATGTCTGCACGAAGCACGCGCTGCTGTCATCAGTGCAAGTCAAGGGAGAGCAAAACACCTCCCAGGTCGAACGTTAGCCCACAGAGCTCACTCTGTGCTCATTTCAGCCTTTGCAAGAGTCCCCAGTAATTGAGAGGGCTGTACAAAAGCTGGCTGTACTGCTGGCAAGAGGCAGATACAGAAACCCCGCAGTTGGGTTAACAGACTTATGTAAGGCCTTTGTGCATTAAGGAAGGCGGGTGATTATTTAACAGCAAGCTGCTGCTCTGCTGCTGGACGCGTGCTGTGCCTCCAGCAGTGCCAGTGACACAGAGGGGACAAACGGACTTTATAAGGAGCCCCAAAGATCAGAACTAGCCACCAATCATTCCAATTTAAACATCTGTGAGGATAAGCTACAGTATCTTCCTCTCCATTTGCAAAACATGTTTGATGCTTATTTTCAGTTGTATTTCAAATTAAATTAGTTGTCTGCCTATAAATTCAAGTCATCATCCAATAGAGGGCTGAGTATTAGCTATCACGCAAGTGAAGCCTTGCTTTTTCAGCTCTCACTAGAGGCCCTTAAAACACAAGTAAATGTGTTTAAGCACACAGCTTAGATGTGCATTAGCTAAGTCATACAGACCCAGCACTGCCACAGTCGGACTGCTTTTGATATGGAGCTAGCACAGCCAAAATGTCAGTTAGGTGAAGCCTTGGACTCGGTGCACTGTAGAGACAAAAGCCTGCTGGGACCTAATCTAGCAACCTGCTAACGTGTCACTCCCAGGCCAACAGACCCCACATTTCCCCCCAGCAGGCTGGGATCGCTGCTCCCTGCTGGCAGCCGTGCTGCTCACAGAGCAGAGCTGCTCCTGCCGCCCATCGCTGTGAGAGCAGCAGCACAGGAACTGCATTTTATGGAATCAGATGGGGATGGGGGAAATGGCAGGGAGATGAGATGTCAGAAAAACTCTAGGAGAGCTTTCCAACCAGCTGCTTCCAAAAGTTAAAAAAAAAAAAAAAAAAAAAAAAAAAGAAAAGGTTCTTTTGGAAGTAAGAGGAGAAGAAAATATCAGAGCTTTTCCAAGGGCATACGCTTCCTATCATTGCTTGGGCCAAATTGTGAATATGTAGGAGAGGCAAGAGACTAGCTCAAAAGCTCAAGCAAACTTATCCCCAAGGAGCAAGTGACTGACTACGACATGACAGCATTTAGCACATGACGGAGTGCTTTACTCACCCTTTCTGTCTCAGTCTGGCAGGTAAGGAAGGATATGTGACAGAACCAGGCCAAGACAGGCAAAAAAATCCTCAACTACATCTTCCTTCCACACGGGTACTGATTAGAAAGGAAACCTGATACTTACAGAGCCCCGTGCCAAACCCAAGCTGCAGCAGAGCTCTCCCATTGCTTTTTCTGTTAAGCTGACTTGTGGCTGTCTCAGCATCCGGCATTTAAAAGCAGCAGTTTCTACTCCTTTGTAATAATACTACAGAGATTACTACTTTGTAGTAATGCTATGAAGATCAGAGCATGCACGTGACTACAAGAAGTGCTGCTTAGTGAGCTGCCTGCATCCTGAGTGCAGGGGGTAACTCCAGCTCCTGGGACTGCCTCCAGGCTTTCCTTCCTAGCCATCATGTTGCTGTTACACGGCACTTCGATGTGTACAATATGCAAACATATCAGATGTTTGGTGGCAGAAGGAAAACCAAGTATGTTACACCTAGAGAAATCCAGAAGCATTCAGTTTTATCTGCACGCATCTTCGAGGTAAACTAACGGTAGGCAGCATACAAACATGATTAAACATATGTCAGTAAAACAGATGCAGTGCACAGAT